TGGGCAACATGATGGACTGCAGAAACTGGACAGGGACCCATTCCTATTGCTGCAGATGATGACAGAATACTAGGCTAGAAAGATTATTGGCCAGGCACATTGGGACATGTCTTATTCTGCTAGAAAATAGATTACTTGATCATTTAAAAATCCACCACTACTTTGTTGACAAAACTGCATTTTTTCCCTTCCATTTTGTAAAAATAGCACTTTTTAACATACTGCACTCTGGAAAATAGTGTCGTGCTAACTGTGCAGACTTCCTCATTAGCAATGAACAATAAATAAAAGCATATATACCGCCTTGAATTTCTCTGTATAGATTTGAGCCCCCTAGTGCCTCAAAAGGAAGCCTTTTTTTCTTAGTGAAGCCACCTATAAAGTCCATCAAAGTCAGACTTCATGTAGGAAAGGCTATCTGTAGCTTGCAGACTTTCCTCAACATTCAGAAATCCCACAATTTTACATATGATACTTGTACTTTGATCCCTGCCTGTGAGTTTGGATGGTGTGCAGCTTGCACTGAACTTTCCCAGGACACTCTTTTCAATACCTTCAACTACTAAAGGTGCAATTGGATATTATGTGAGGTCCCAACCCTCTTTTGCTTAAAAGCAGTTTTTAAGATATGGGAACAAGGGACAAGTAATATCACCAACAATGCCTCACACAGACAATCATAATGCTGGAGAGGAAAAGAAATTCACCCAACACAGAAATAGGAAACCTTTAGCAGACAAGTGATATGAATATTGTTTATATCGCTCACAGTTACATTTACCTATGCTTACAATCTCTGCCCTGTAGACAAAGATTTCTTCAAGGAATACCCTGGTTTTGGTGTTGATCTCACCAGCATTGGGATTCCCATCCTGGAAGTCAGCAGCTAACTTTAAATATAGGTCTGATAATAATAACTTAGATGTATATGACTCATTCAGTTTAATTTATTGAATATATGTGTCATCTTTGTAACTCATCATCTTTCTAGCAAAGATCTGAATTGTTTTGGGATGGCCAGTTTCTAAGCAGTGTAATGTGGCCACAGCTTCCTCCTGTCAGACAGGGCTACCAAAAGACTGGGTCACGCTTGATGTGAGTTCCACTTCACGGTACCTTTAAGTCAGGAATGCAGTGCAGCTACCTGAGGTCAGCACAGCTGAATGTCAGCTCGTTCATTTGTTCTTGCTCTTCTGTCCCAGAAGCAATGCTATTCACTGATGTCAAGCCACAAGAATTTTACTGTCTCCATTCAAGAAAATTTTACTTAGTATCCCTCTTGTGATCCACATATTAAGGGTCAGAGAAAGTCCATACGAGACATCAGTTTTGTCCCACTTACCTCTAAGAATGTCACAGACTGAGAAATCCATATTTGACAACATCTTTCAGTAATTTCCAATATACTGAACTTCATCATATTTCAGACAAGCAATAACACCCACTTCTAGAGCTAAGTAAGAACAGATGCATCATTTTACATAATCCCAGAGACTGAAGTGTTGAAGACCTCTGCTCTCTGGGTCACTAAACAGGCTGTGACATTTGCAGACCAATCAACCCTAAGTTCCAAAACCCAGAAAAGCCCAAACTGGTCAGTGTTGCAAAAACAAATTAAAACCCAGTAATGCCAACTCACAAAGTAAACAGGTAACCATCTCTAGTCACATCATGCAAAAAGAATTGTGGAAAAAGCTGACAATACTCCAGAGGCTTATAGCTCTTTTGGCTCGTTTTATGTATCATGAAAAACAAAGGCAGTTCTAAAATCTGATCAGCTGCACTATTTCCAGGCAGTAGGTTCTGTCCAACAACCAAAGCTGCCTGCTTGACCTGCCATCAAGCAAGCATTCTCAACTTCTCAATTAAACTTCCAAAATTTTAATTCAGTTCTTCCAAACAGAGTTTTTTTATATATTCAAACTTTTCTTTCATAACAAAAGGAAAAAATCAGAAGAATTATGACATTTTCAGAGGAACATTACTGCTTTACTGTCCAGTGGCAAATAGTCAAGGAAACGTAATCATATTCTCATTTGGCTGTCTCAGCCAAAGTTTAACTTACTGTGGTTTCCTTACTTCCTTTTAATTTCTTCTCTGGAATAAAAAGACACATCAGCTTAGTTGAAAAGTCTGCACAATCCCTTCTAGATTATTCTCCAGAAGATTTATGATATAAAACCATACTTCACAATCACACCCTGAATTGGGGAATGAGTGGGAGTGTGTGATAGAATTGAGCACCATTAATTAGGTGATAACCCTTATATAAGTCACTTTCTTATTCTGTATAAATACCAACCATTTTCTTTTACTTCGGTCACCATATCAGGATAAATTTTCCAAGGCACACCAGAAAGAGGTTTGCTTACAGATCCTGCCATCATACTAAACAGTAGTTATCCCCAACCCAAACAGCTGTAAAGGGGATGCATAGACTGATCAAAGTCAGCTGGGGTACACATCATAGCACCACCAGTGGAGATACCCTTTGATTGCTTTCTAATATTGATACTGAGAAGAATATCATGCTTTTACCACACATATGCCTTTACAATAACTTACTGTGTCTTTTGGACAAAGAGGGAGTCTGTTTTCAGGGCTTCAAGAGTAGAGGTTTCTCTGCCTTATCTTTACATCTCTTCTGTCCTTTCACTGGTCTTTTTGTGTTGGAAGCCCAGTTTCTGATCTTCATATTAACTTTATTCATGTGAGAAATGGTAAGAGGAAATCCTGGGATCATATTTTCTCAAAACCTTGTAGGAGGGGTATCCATACTTTAAAACAGCCCTGTCACTCAAGCCTCTGTGTCCTTGAGACCCATCTTCTCCCTCCTCCCAGGCACTCCTGTTCCTCTTACATAGAGTGGGATCACTATGTCAACAGATTCAGAAAGAAGAATTATGCTCTTTCTGTCTTCTGGCCTGAACACCTACCAGTGCTTCTGATTTAACCCTGATTTCGTTTGTCCCTAAGCAATAACATATTGGCAAGACTACAGTCTTGCTATTCTCTCCTAGAGAACTGCAGAAACTTCTGACCCACGGGAGTACACCCACAGATTCAGGCACTAATGCACACGAAGTGAAGTCAGGCAGCTGGTTTGGAAACTGGTCCTGCTCAGGCACTCTTGGAAGGCTGCTGGCTGTGGCTAGGGTGGTCTGGCCTCAGCTGCCACCTCCCTGCAGGAGCTGAGCTGGTGTGGGCAGCCAGCAGCTCCCTCCCATTCTCTCTTATCTCTGCACTCCTTTTTCCCTCTGGCTGGGACAGGGCCTGCCTGGCTTTGCTCCACACCGCCAGAGAACAGCATGTACCCTCTCCAGTAGCCTTCAAGTGTCTCCCTGAGAGCCACTGAGCTCGGGTCGTGCTCCCAAGCAGCAGGGTAGCAGAGGACTCCCACTTTACAACCAGCAGAACAGGTATTCTCAGATATCAGATTAGAGCTATAACTGAAGGCAACGGCAACAAAAGGGAGGCAGGAAGGTATTTCAGACAGAATACTTGGTGTTCAAATGAGCCTGAAACTATCAATTACAAGGATGTTTTTTTCTTTAAAACTACTTTTTTTTTGCTGTGAGAATTAATAGAGGCAGACAACAATAAAAAAAAAGAGAAAAAAAAAAAGGTAGACTTAATCAGAGGTACTGATTTATTTGCACAGTTGTACGTAATAGCTAAGGTATGTATGCTTTAGCTCACTTCCTTGGAGACACCCTGCAGAGTGTAGCACATTAGCAATATTTAGTTTACTAACATGGTATTGCATTTTAATAAAGACATACAGACACAGCTTACAGTATTTATTTCAGCAGAACTCTGCCTAGGCACTTTCTGAGAACAACTAGGACTACTTTTTAGATTGAGTGGTATGTACATGTTTAATTTTTTTTTACTGCAAAACCGTTTCAGTAAAAGATAACTGGAATAAATTACTAACTGCTTTAACAGTAATACTCACATGGCTTTTACTCAGAGCCAAAACTATTTGAAACATAAAGGTTTTATAAGGCAAATATTCAATTAACTGGATGCATTCCCTCACAAAGAACTGAATTTAGTTACTAGTCGATCCCCCAGTAACACATCAGCTAAAAAAAGCTATATTTTTTAAAAAAAACTATATTTAAAATACGTCTTTTATACCTGTAAAATATAGCTGTGAAAAATTAGTCTATTATTTGTTTATTAAAATTATGGTGGTTTTATTAAGACACAAAGAACAAAACGTGGGACACATTAAGAGAGTAAATGGAACTTTCTATTTACTCTCTGACCTTCTATTACTTAATAGAAAGCTGTCCTGTCAATGCCTATCAAATTTTAAAAAGCATAAAGTGATGCTTAAAAAGTATAAAGAAAAAAAAAATTCAGAAGACAAAGCTTTGCTGATTAATAACTGAAAAAATCTGAAAGAAAATCATACAGAAAGATCAATATCACAGACTACTTCTAACCTCTAAGCCTCAGAGAGCAGGGGAAACACATGCAGCATAACACAGCAGTCTCACACATGCTGCTACAAAGTCTGCTGCTTCCCAGGACACATCCCTAACAGTCAGCCTATTTATCCAGCAAAACTACATGTAAGCATCCCAAATAGCTCACACAAACTAAAAACTTCATTTTGCTCTCCAGCTTCCAGAAATGCAAGCTTTTTGTTATGTTTTCTTTTAATGAAATAAGTCTACTGAAGATTTTTACAAGGTATCTCTAACTGTAAGGATTGAACCTGAGTTACTGCTGAGTGGGTAAAAATCTATGTCATGTGTTACAAGAAGTATGAAAAGGGTTCTCTTTTTAAAAAAATTATATACATTGTATTTTAAAACAAAAAGCTAAATAATTTTGTTTCTTACTCGTTATTGTTCAGCTCAACAGCTGAACATCTTCAATAACCATGCAAAATCTATCAAACCAAAACTAAAGCCTGACTTTCTTGGGACATATCACTGTGTCATAATAGGAAGGAGAGCCTGAAAGAAACAAACGAGCCACATTACCACATTGCGTCGGCAGTCCTTAAGGAGCTGGTAGATCGGGATCTTGGCTTCATAACAATGCTCATTTTGAAAAATTCCTTTAGTATTACTAGCAGTCAGACATCAGTTGTCCTTAAGAAGCTCATTTTCAAAGTACTCCATTTCAAAGTATTTTTTTAAAATCCTCTGCTTTTTGACACCCTCCAAATCCTTCTCATGTAAAAATCCCGGCTGTGGAGGAAGAATTCTAACATGCTGCAACTCCTTCCTTTTTCATGCTGAGTTTACTCAAGCACTGTGCTGTTCGGAAATGACAGTGCTTTTCTTTTCTGTCTTGTATTGCCCTGGGAGGAACTAGTCTATTTTGAACCTATTCTCCCTTCAGGTCACATGAGAATGAAGGCAGCTGAAAAGAGTCCCTATCTCTTTCATGCAGGTTGATAACAACAGGTTTAAAGGTAAATAACATTTAAAAAAAAAAAAAAAAAAAAAAAAAAAAAAAAAAAAAAAAGGAAAAGAAGAAACAGTACTTCTGGACAATAAATGAAAGGAAAGAATGAATGTAAGTTACAGGAACTTTTCTGAGTTTGCAGAGAAATTCCACTTACAGACATTCTAGATAAATTTAGTCTCTGTGGAGTAAAGAAAGGAACAAAGATTTTTTTTTTATTCCAAGTCAATTAAAACCCTCAACTAGAATTGTAATTCTTCCCTTTCTCTTTCTCCTAACACTTGCTTAGATACTGTGAATAAGTACTATTGTTGAACTTAAGAAACCAGAAAGTATTCCGTCTGAAAGGCATTCAGAACACTGTGGGGAAGTTAAGTAAAAATTAAATTCCTTGTTGACTTTTAAAGTCAAACACACATACACATAGTGATTGTTACTAATCACTGAAGGACAAAATACCTTAATTGAAGAACTATAACATGACATCCTTCCTGCTGTACTGCATATATATTTTCCTGTTATAATAATTACATTAATAGTTTATGCATTACAAAAAATTTGCATTTATTATTTCTAGCCAAAAAATTATCATAAAAGCTTTGAGACTTAATTCCTATGTTGATATATTTGGCAATTTCAGCATTTAAGAGGGGGAAATGTAGCAAACAAAATAGGCATTATATTATTTAATTTATAAATTTTTGCAAATGCTCTGTACTGTGTTAGAATTGGTTTTAAACTGAAAGAACAAATTTATTGCTGAACAAGTGTTTACATGCTTAACAGCCATTCCTTTTCACTCTCTACAAGTGTTGCAGTACATTATTTTGGATGGTAGTGCATCTAGGTTAATAATGAAAATAAGCACTGTAATTGCATTTATAAAATTAATATGAACTTGGCAAATAAAAGAAAAATATTATAAACAGATTATGCATCAATAAATCAAAAAATTAACCAAAGTGGAATGTGTGTAAGGCTCTCTACAACCTTTGGCTTTATTTTATAACAGTACAATAAATGTATTTTGAACTACACTGTATATCACCATGAAAGATCCTAACTGCCCTGGAGGTTTTTGCCAGTGATCTGCATGTAAAGTGTTCCACAACAGCAGAAGGAATGTTAATAATGCTTCTTGCTCTGCATTCTGTTCTTCATGTTTTCCATGTTTTCTGTCACTTATCTCCCAAATATCACTTAGTAACTTGCAAAGGACCTTTCATAAAGGTCATATGAAATCACGAAAGTTAACTTCAATGAATAGAAAAGGCATTTGTGGTAAATTTAGCTCAAAGGGTCATACTAAAGGCTCATAGGACCTTTAGTAACAGTTGGGTCTGTCACTGTGCAGGTCACACAACTATGGAAGTGCACATAAATCAAGCCCTACGTTGTGAAACTTTTGTTCCTTTAACAGATGTACCAGGTAATGAAAAAAAAAATATATAAAATAGAGATCCTTCACAAAATACCTGCCTGTTTTAAAGCTGGGTTATTTTTAGTTTCCTTGATTATTTATTATTTATAAATATAATCATTATTCCAATTTTATGTAGGGGGTAAAAAGAAGCAAAACAGATGTTTTGACTAAGCTTTTTGCAATACCATACTGAACTGGAATATTCAAAGATTATTTCTGCTTTGCCACAAAGTAAATATCTCAGGATGGTCTGTTTTCAGTAGTGTATCAGACAAGATTCTGCCTCTTACTTGTAGTTACAAGAAATAAAACTAGAAATATTTACATATTTAGACACTACTATACAATATAAATACACTCTAGTTGCAGGTACTCAAATAATTTGAGACACTGTTTTTCAATTGCAATTCAGAAAGAAAGTTCTCATGGGATCCTAGCTCTCCATCTCATTAACCAAATACTAACACCCACTGCAAACCTGCTTTCTTTGTTAGTCTCCATTCTCAGCTCTTTAGAAATAAACTGCTGTTCTCCAGGTGCCTATTAACTTCAACTATTATGAAATATAAATTAAGCAACCATACTTCAAGTGGCCAAAACAGTCTTCAGGGACCAACCTTAGAATCATAGGCTTCCCACGAAAAAGGGAACCAGTAGGAAAGAGAGCTTACAGTCCTCTAGGGAATATTAGTTTTATCTGAAATTCATCAGTTGACTTTGTTAAAGCTAAAACAAAGGAGCCTCTTAATATTCATTATGAGAAAGGCCAACCATTTTCTAGAGAGGTTTCTAGAGAACCTGTTAGAACAACTTTGGCAGTTAACAACTTCTAATTCCTACATAAAATCTGTTGTGCTACAATACATAAAATCTGTTGTGCTACAATTAACATCAAAGCAGATTTTATTATGTTAAGTTTTACATAAAGATAGGAGCATGTTAGTCCACTGTGCTCATAGAAGACAGTGCAGCATTTATTCTTGTATTGGGGATAGAATCAAATAATGAAAACTCTCAATTCCCATAATTTGAGGAATTAAGAGGAAAAGCAATTAAGGAAAATTAAGAGAATAAATAGAGAAATGGCCATTGTTTATTAGCTGATTTATGCATGTAATCTTGTAACTTAAAAAAACCCAAACCCTAACAAGCCCACATTTTTTCTTTTTTGGAATCCTTTTATTTTTTGTGGTGGCAGGAAAAAGGCTTTGGAAGAGAAGTCTTCCTGGGGTACCACCACACTTAAGGGAAGTGTTGATTGTATAATAAAAATTATGAAGAATATATTTAAAATTAATGAAAATACTAAGAGATGGAGATATTCAGTACTACTAAATACACTCATAATAAAAGTATCAAGAGAAGCAGCAATACTTTTTATCTGCATATAATCAGCCAAAGTTTTAGCTGTATAGTTAAAAGGTCTAATGAAAAAAAAAAAGATACAGAAATAAAACACCATTAAATTTAAAGTGTGCTGGATTCAGCCCTCTTTGAGCATGCTTATAACTTAGTTACTTATCTTCAAAGTAGCAATTGAGTTAAATCAGTACTATAGTGCAAAAAATTGAATATTAAAATGATTTGCCAAAAGCATGGCTTAGGGAATGAGGTCTGAGTGTTCTGTTCCATGCCTGGGAACATCTTTCTCTTGAGGTTATGGAAAACTTGCTTAAACATCCTGAGTTTTGTCTTCCTAGTTTGTGAAACAGGCATAACCCACATAATGCTGCTTGTAAAGCACTTGGACATCAAACTGATGAAAAAAACCATGCAATATATGCCAGGTTATTATTGCTGCTCTATGCAACCTGAAGAAATGGATTCATAATCTTAAACCTTCAGACATAAATAATGACTGGGCTCTTACGTGTGGCGTTTGGAATACACATTATCAAATGAAAGCTACAAAGCAATGTCTTGCCTTTTGATATGCAATCTTAGTTTCACCCCAGGTACTTTTTCAAGTAGGATAAGTAAAATTTCTTTAAAAACTTGGTGCTGGGCTCATTCACTCAGGCTTATCCCTGTTATCTCTTAGTTACTGTTGCTCACACTTTGTATCTTTGATTTCTTCATGTACACTTTACAGTTTTGACATTTATAAGAAATACAGGTTTCAATAAATAAGGTATATGCATTTAAACTTGAAATCAACCTTTCCAATCTGCTGGAGTACACATTCCACTGTAGGAAACATTTTTTTCACAAAATAAGCACCACATCAATTAATTTTGTGAAACTCTTGAGTTGCACAGTGCATTCTAATTCATCCACAGAGCTAGATTATCCTCTTATTGTCCTATACTGCACAACAAGGTGAAGGACAGAAAAGATTAACAAAATGTTCTTATATTACCTGCATGAGTGGGTCTGAGAAATAGTAATGCAGGTGCAGGTTCAGGAGACATCTTTCAGAAACAAGTATTAAGTCAGAAAATCAGAGAAACAAATTTTTACCGAGCTGCAGGTTTTGCCACTGCTCAGCATAGCAAGTGATTTTAGAAATATTTTTTGTAGGGTTAGAATGTCAGAAAACTAAATTTTGCCATTCATGTCAAGGCAAAAGCTTATTCTCTTTTTCCTGTAGTTCTTTAGCAAAGAAGAAGAAGTTAGACATTACTGCATAAGTAAGAGAAAAAAAAAATGTAATGATAACTAGAGTGTAGAATTCATCAGAATGAAAAAAGGCAAACCAAAGAGCACAGCAGAAACACGATGTATGTCACTGGTGTTTCCTCTTTGTATCCACTTACATCTAGCTGCCTGGATTGAGCTACCCAACTTATAAATAAATATGGTTTATTAGCTCAGTGCTTGCAGTGTAAACAAAGTTACTATGTGCTCTACCAAGGCCTTACACAGAATCCAATATGCAAAACTCCTCATAGACCACGTGGCAGGGAGGGTCTTCTGTAAGAATACCCAACTCTAGTATGATGGCTTGTCTGAAGATGCTTGTTCTCAGTTTCCTTTGAGGCTGCCAGGTGCTGCTGCCTGAGCTGTACCATGAACAGCAAAGGAGGCATGTGTCATGGAGAGGCCTTACAGCACCTTGCTCCCTTTCACAGCAAAGTCAGGTTCTTGATACATGTCAGGCTGAAAACCTGTCCTTCTGCCTTTATCCCTGCCTACTTTTACTTTGATTTAATCAGCTACGCAGTTAGAGGTTAACAACCTCAGTACTAACTGACCATTGCTGGTCTGCATAGCTTCCATTGCACAAATAAAAATAGAACCTGTGCAAAGCTTCATTGCTGGAGATTCAGAAAGAAAATAAACAGAGCTAATTTTTAGGAGCAGAGTGCTTTTTTTCTGAGGAACATTATATTCTAGGCAAACAATGCCATCAGCTATGCTGTGGTCTATGGTTACATATGTCATTAAGGTTGGAAAAAATGATGTCTGCTAATGCTGGATTGACATTGTATATCAGCAAATAGCCTAAAATTAAATACTACCCTACTCGAAGACTTT